GATTTACTTAATCGGTTTATACTTAGCAATTATATTCAAAACAAATGGTCTAAATAATTAAAAGTAAAATCGATTCGATTCGATCATTAAATTCGATTCAGTTTGGTCGAGAAGTCAATAGGAGGGTTTAGTTTGGGTGGCCAGCATTTAGTTAGCTTAGTCAAGTCTTTTTATCTGCCGAACTACAGTGCCCGGAGAACCGTAGACACTCAATATGAAGTTGTGTGAATTAAAAATACCCTTATCTCTGAAAATCCCTTTGAATAACAGCGAAACAGTATTTTTTTGAAAATAAAGCGTCAATTAAGTCACTTGTCTAAAAAAAACAATCAAAATCAGTATATCCCTTTAGAAGCTATATATAGCTAAGCTATATAGGTACTAAAAAAAGATACACAGATAAACTTTATAAACTGGTCACGTTCCTCCTACGTCGAGGGTAAAAAGTTTTATATATATACAAACTTATTGGAATATTAACTGGACTCGAACCGCCTAAAAACCGCACGCCGTCCCGGGTACCAGTAGCCGGGACGGTGGTACAGGAAATCCCTAGTGGTGGTACAAAATCGCTCCTAGAACTTGTGAACATCCCAGGAAGCTTCTGCGCTTCTGGAAGGAACTTAGTTGGTTCACTTAGCCAACCAATCCTGGACGCTTAAAGGACCACTCTAGAGTCTAAATGCGGAAATCGGAGCCCACAACCAATACCAATACCACAAAGTTATTTTGTACGGTTTACATTTTTATTTATTTTTCTTTCATTTCGTTTTATTTATAAATATACAAGATAAGGTTAATTATATAAAATACATCCTCCTTCGAAGTAATATTTAAATACGTTCCTTTTTTCACAAAAACACCCTTAGGTTCTGAAACTCATTACTAACAGTTTTCTAGGACGATCTAACATTCCCTTCCAGTAACATATCATTTCAGGTCAATTGGTTCAATTTTATTGTCAAGTGGAACTTATTAGCGTGCCGATGAAATTTGTGGCATTACCGGCAGCCTCGGGGTGGACTCACTAACTTAGTAGGACTCCTATATGGTACATAATATCTTGGGACAGTCCTATACACATGTAATTTGATGAATGACTGAATGGCTTTTATAATGATTCACGGCTTTTAAAAAATAGCCTAAGTTACCTACTCCTAATATAGACAGCTACCTGGTAGTAAAATATTATCAAAATCAGTCCAGCCGTTTTGAAGATTACCCTGAACAAACAGGAGGACAAAATATTTAAACTGGTTTTTAGTTATAGCTATCGTGCTATTTGCACCATGTGAGCATGAAAAAAAAAACAATTATTTTGAAAATAGAAACAGACACTTCAATTTTATTTATTTGTATACTTAGGTATTCAAATCTATGGGGTAGTGAAATTACACATATTTATTTTCATTATTAGTTTAAATTAGGTTTCAAATTATAAAGCAAAAATATATATATATAACTTTCTTGGCTTTTTTACCTTTGAAAAATAAATGAACAAAACATTGTAGAATAGATAAACAATTATTCGAGTCATTTAATCTATTACCAAATAACATACACCAATAATTCAAAAACACCCCAAACGACGCTTCATATTAAAATACTATATGAAATATTTAAAATTGGTATTTACATTTTTATCTTCTTTTGCACCGAAACTAGCTTTGACCACACGTAGCTTTGACCAAAAAACCCATACCTACATATTAATTAAAGTAATCATTTATAGCAAACAAGACCTATAAAGCCTAGTAATAGATATTATGTATCTACGTTTTACTATAAGCCTCATGGTCACCACAATGTGCTACCCAAAACTTGCGTGTCGCATGACAAAGTCTCGCCTGTTTCCTATGGGAATCAAACCCCCGTACCTTTTAGAACGAGCTGACGAATTGCAACCATCAACGTGCACCTCGGGAATGCAATATAATAAGTCCTAAATCCGACCGCCTATCACACCGGATTGTAACTGTTAACTAGCATTTATAAACAATGAAAACAGTGTGTTGTGTGTTAGTGAACCTGATTACAATTGTTACTTGCTAGGTTTGATAATCCAGATCGATACTGCCAAACTCTATATTATAAATCATCAACAGCCTTTAATAGTCCACTGCTGTACATAAGCCTCTCCTTAGAAAGGAGGTTTTGGCCTATATATATATATTATAAATATTAAAGTGAGTTTGTTTGTTACGCGTTCACGCCTAAACCACTTAAACGCGAGGCTTTCCGGTCAGTCAAAAGTACTTTTGAACATGACATTTTACTGTTATAACCTCATCTAAACCAAAGGACCACCAACAATAGGGCGATCTGGTGCATGGTGGCCGATGACGCGGACTGCTCGCTTCGTTTGTTCGCCTTCGCGCCTTAACATTAACTTAACAGAAAACTTAACATTACCGTATGCTTAGTCGTTAGTCTCCAGATTACCAAGGAAGTCTGCAGATTATCTAGTTCGGACATTCAGAACTAAAGCAATGTTTTCCACTTTGACGGACTCAACCACATAATCTGCAGATTATTATGATAATCTGCACAAATCAGTAATGATTTACGTATTATACATTAGCATTAATATTTATATTATATTCTAATTAATGTTAGTTAAATTATATTTTAAAATAAAATAAAAGTTATTTTCACAAATGAATACCGATAATTTCTTAATTAAGATGTTACGTTTCGGTGTATATGCCAACTTACCAGTATATCTGGCAATTATGAGTTTTGGGGCTATCATTTGTGGGGCTAGGTACGTCATACTAATATGCAGTTGAGTTCAGTCGTGACTCTGTTGCACTTCACGATTTCTGAACTTTTGACGTGAGCTCTTTGATGTGGGTGATGGCGCCAAAGTTTTGGGAAATTTTGTAGAAAATAACAACCTGTAACGGTGTGCTTTGTTTTGTATTGTTCTTTTATATTTCTCATCCGTGAGAGGGCGATTTGATTTTATATACCTAGTACTTACATTTTCCAGTTGCATTTAAAGAAAAAAGGTAATGTTTTGATTTTATTGACTTGGCTAAATGAATATATCTGCTTTGTGTAGCAGATATTTTTAGGAGGTAAATCTATTTCTCAGCACTATTGGTCCAAAAACTTGCATTAGCGTGTTTCTGAACACCACAATAAAAGACAAACTTCGTTTAGGTACCTAAACTTAAGTTAACTAACCGTGTGTAAATGTGTGCCCTTAACAAATAAAGTGGTTTAAACTATTACTAAATAAAATTAATTTGTTTATTTGTTACATGGATATCATATCAACAAGCATTCACATCAAAAAAAAATTGATCTGGTGTATCCGTGATTTACAGAAGTGTGGTGACGGATTAGGAATACAAATTGTCACCACCCCAATTCATCCCGTGGGTGTCGTAAGAGCCGACTAAGGGAGCAAACTAAGCAGGACAACAGCACTGCAAAGAGAAGGAAAACTTGAAACAAACCCTATACCAAGCCGTATGGCCAGCGTGGTATAGTAGGCCAAAACCTCCTTTCTAAGGAGAGGCCTATGTCCAGCAGTGGACTAGTATAGGCTGTTGATGATTGATGACAAAAGATTAAAACACTGATGTACATTTTATTTCAAATTGATTATCTAAAATGTACAAAAATCAATTTTTAAATCTGCCATATGCTAGTTTATTACTTAATAATCTTCGTACGTACTTTACGTAAACATCTTAGAACACTGTTCCGTCAAATTGATTTCTTCTATTAAAATTTAAAAACAATAAGTAGCAAAACAAAACGCAAGGGGCCGAACGATTCTGAAGAGGAGGTGGAGGCCACAGTGCAGAAAGCGTAGCAAAAGAACATCAGCGCTTCAAAACGGTAAACAGATAAAGGATACCAAGTACACAGGTCTACGCTGGATGCACCGCTTCCAACTCGGCTCCTTGGAATTAAGGATTGCCTATGGCCACCTGTGAGGTCCTATACCTAAATTGATAATAAGGATAAAGCAAATAATAGCCAACGCTTTACTATGTTTATTTTTTCATTTCAAGTGTAAAATTATGAACTACGCGTCACTTCAAAGTTTGACATAAAACATTTAAAAAAATTGCCTAATTACAAAATAATACAATAATTTCTAATAAGTACAAAACACTACTTTCAAATAACATCTTGATACATCCAACCGATCACATAAGTAATGACTAAGTAATATATAAATTATACATCGCTATCTATTCGTATCTTAGATTTTAATGACAGAGTTTAAGTAAGGGGCTTCGGATATCGACAAGATTTTATCGACTCTGACTCATAGCGTAATAATAGGTCTCCTAACTTCTCTGCTATTTATTAGGCACAGTTTGTATTCGACGAATTTTATTCCGAAGCGTTTCTTTGAATTTATAACTGATCATTTTGACCGCGAAACTATTCATTAAAGAATTAGTGTTGCGATAGATATGATTCTTAGTTCGTGTTTCTGAATTTAGGGACCAATATTAGGAATAAAATAGAGGTACAAACAAGAGTATATAGCATATTATATATAGCATATATGCTAGCGTAGCTTCCATGTTCTTTCTTTGCATGATGTTTGTGATGCGAAATGAAAGTAAAAACAATGTTTATCGTAGCTACTGCATACTAGATGGCAAGTATCAAATTTTTCTTCAGGGCTTGTAGTGACATCTAGTGTGGCGTAGCTTTATTTAGTTCCACGTATTTCAGATTTTTAGATACAGATGTCTGTACTAGCTACAAAAAAAACGACATTATTAAACTAAGAAAATATATTTTATAGATAAGAAAATATATGTATTTTATGTTTAAAATGATTTGTATCCCTAAAAAAATATTATTATAAAATTCAACAGTTATAATTCTTCAAAGCAAATTAAAAATAATTTATAATCTTGACTATAGCAACATCTGTCATCAACAAATGTCAAGCTTGACTAATCGGCGTTTTAGAGAATTCGCTTGTCATTCATCCAAAGTTTATTTGAAATCACAAAACAATAATGGCTCTATTAGACCTGTGCCGTTTAGATGAAAAAATTAACTTGAAACCCGCTGATGCACTAGCTTCCTTCCAAAATGATGTAATCGGATACAGTCAGAACTTCATAAACAGCGCTCAACTCGCATCACCTCCGTTTTCAAATGTAAGTAAAGGTTATTATATTCCTAAACATAATTGCTTTTTAAATTTCACAAAATATCATTTAAAACTTTCAACAGCCTGTAGAAACCTTAGCGCAGTTCAATCAGAGAGATGAGACGGGCAAGGCGATCAAAATTCAGTTCGACCACGGCACCACTACCCTGGGCTTCCGTTACCAGGTATGTAACGAAATTCGTCCATTTTTGTCATACTGCAAAAGGTTGTATTGTATTATGTAGATAATTGGTTTAAAAAAAAACTAAGGAAATAAAAATTTCTTCTTTCAAAACAATTAACTTTCTGTTAAGAATCATAGCTTGAAAATATTGCTAGTGAGTATTCTGTTTTATATTATATAAAATTACTCTCTCCAAACATATCTCGACATGTACCTATGCATTTTGAATTTGTGTAAAATTATGGTTTTACTTTACTAAATGTCATGTAGGTATGATATGATTTTCTATAAAACTCATGGCATCCCGAAATTCAACTGCATATTTTATATCATCAACATGGACTCTTCTAACATCTCTTGAAAAATATAATGAAAAAGATCTCAATTTTATTGTTTGGAAAATTATTATTGTAAAGCAGGAAATCTAAATCAACTTATGAATTATGAAAAGAGGCATGGTACATAACAATTATTAGTCTTACTTAATCGTACCATACTGTAAGTCTCCTTAATCCATCCGTTTCCCGTGAAGAGATCACAAATTGGGCCACCAATTGTACAACTTTTTGAAGTAAAACACCTTTATGGACGCTTGACTTGAGGAGGAAGCTGTTGAATGCGTGATGAGAGTGTTACGAAAAGTGTGATCGGGCGAGGCGAACGGAAGTTGAGATAGAGAAGTTAGTGAAGATAGAAAGAGAGATGTTTTGTATATTACTGTATGGGCAAGAGAGAGAGGTGCAAGCACACATTTTCTTTCTCTCTTAGCCAAGAAGCTTAACTTGAGTCTTGTGGTATCAAGCACACTCGTTTTTTTTTATATATACAAATATAGTTTTCCTTTCTTTGTTTTACTGTCCTTAGATCATGACAGATGTATAGAAAACTACTATTATTATTATTTTTTTGTACAATAGGGAGTTATCCATCTATTTATCTAAAACATAATAATCATTAAACAAAAGAACCATCAGCCTTCCATTTTTATGCAATTTTACAAAAAATATATGGGTTAATTAATTTTTTAATAATATAAAAACGTATGTACAACAGGGTGGAGTCCTATTGGCGGTAGACTCTCGTGCCACTGGCGGTCAGTTCATTGGATCACAGTCTATGAAGAAAATTGTAGAGATCAACGACTATTTGCTAGGTGAGTCACTTATAAATTAAAGATTGAGAATTCACAATAATATAATAATATTTTACCACATTCACACAACACCATTCAGTCCCTAACTAAGCAAAGCTTGTACTGTGGTCACTAGACAACTGATGTAAATACATAAATACTTTTATTGTAAATACAGATTATTATACAGAAACATCTGGACCAAATCAAACATTAAATGTTCATGCAAACAAATGTTTGACTTCAGCGAGAATCGAAACAGCAACTTTTGTCATAGCAGTCCGTTACACAAACTAAACTACACCATTCGGTCGTCAAAATAACCATAATATAATAGTTAGGAAAATTAGGAACTTGAAAGAAAATGACAAGAAAGAAAATTGTCTTTTAATTTCAATTCCAACCTTGGACAAATATTTGTGTGATGATTATGATCATTTTTTCTGTGTCTGGATGTAATTTATCTCTGATATGTATGGATTTCGAAATATATAAGTTTATCAGCAGTCTGGTTACCATAGCACAAGCTCTACTACCTTGCACATCTCACACACACTCATCTGATCCCAAACTAGGCGTTTGGGAACAGATGAGTGTGTGATGAGATGTGTAAGGTTATAATTATTGTTAAAACTAAGTAAACTTACCACAGCTTTAGAAGTTAAAAATAAAGTTAAAATAATAGTAAAAATAATTTAAACAGTTAAATTAATGGAGCCCATATCGCTAGTTCTGCTGGGAAAAGGGGCACTTTAAGGACTGCAACACATTTGTGACTCTTAAATTGCATGGGTGCAGGTGACCCATCTCCTAGTTTGCTCCCTACACCATATAGAAAAAAAAATACATAGTTGTGATGAAAAATTGATTTCAAATCATTGTAATAAAAATATGTTTTTCTACAATAATTATAAATACAATTAATTTTTTATCATCAATACTTACTTTTAGACTAGTTATTTGATTATCTTTGTCTTCAAGTTGTAGGTTAAGGAAATAATTGACTAAACATAAGCATAGTGGTTTAAGGGTTCATCTCGCCAGTTCTTACTGTGCTGAGTGTTGTTTTGATACCCACATGGGACACACAAATTGTTGTTGTGAGTCTGGGTGTTCTTTGTACACATTTAACTGAATATTTGTAAATTCCCTCGCGATACAGGACATATTCCTAGTGCAGAGTTCTCTTAAAAAAAAATGATGCAATGGAATTGTAAATACCTTCTGTGAAATAAATTATTTTAAAAATCAGTTCTTTAAAAAGCAGGGCGTGCCAATTAATTATACCTATTTATAAATAACCACTAGTTTACAAAGAGAGTTGAAATATTTTCAAATATGCTCAGTTTTGTTATATTCTAAATCATAAATTGTCCATCACACAGGAACATTGGCCGGTGGTGCTGCTGACTGTGTATACTGGGACCGTGTCCTTGCCAAACAATGTCGCCTCTACGAGCTACGTAATAGAGAACGTATTTCAGTGGCCGCTGCCAGCAAACTCATGGCTAACATGGTGTACAACTATAAAGGCATGGGGCTCAGTATGGGTATGATGTTGGCTGGTATTGATAAGAGGGTAAGTGTTTAACTCTTCAATATAAATGTATGAAAATGTTGAATGATCAAAACAACATAACCACGTAAAAATCATATTAATTACAATAATTCTATTATCATAGTATGTATGTTTACTATCACAGTATAAAATGTATGAAGTTCTTACTCTCTTACCTTTTCTACTCTCTTTTTTTTGCTATTTGATTACGTCACGGCCATGGCTTTGTTTTGATTCGAATTATTAATTAATTATTTTGAAACGACCAAATTAAACAAGTAAAATAACAACAAATACATGATCTATGTAGGTTTTTACGAACACTGATTTTGAATGCATTGCAGCCTTTTGAATTTTTGCTAGTTAATATAATAACTAACATAATAATGAGAACTTCGTTGCTAGGAATTTCGATAAATATGCTTATTGTAGTAGTAAAAGTACAATCAAATCCTTCATGATTGAGATGATTTTAACTACTTTGAATACGAGGGGTGATCAATAAGTAATGATAATCGAGTATTTCTAGAACGCACAAAAACCCAAATTATTTTTTTTCTGTTTGCTTATATGTCCACTACTTCAGCTTCAAAAAAATGTATAAATAGGACACCATTACCGGGAGATACATTCATTTGAATACGAACTGTCGAAGAGAAAACATCAAAATGGAGAAAAATGAAATAAGAGCTGTCATCAAGTACCTCTGCCTGAAAAAAATGTCTACCAAAGACATACACAGCGACTTAGAGGAAACATTGGGGGACTCTGCTCCTCCATATTCCATAGTCGCACGCTGGGCAAAGGAATTTAAGCTGGGCAGAACCTCCACTGAAGATGAACATCGCGAGGGACGCCCTTCCACGTCCCTTACTGGAGAAAACGTCAAAAAAGTGGAAGATATCGTGTTGGCCGATCGAAGGGTGACCGTAAGGCATGTAGCTGAGGTCACAGGGATCTCCTATGGCAGCGTTCAAAAAATCATTGTCAACAAAATGCATATGAAAAAGGTCTCTGCGCGTTGGGTACCGAGAATGTTAACCGACGAGCAAAAAAAGAAACGAGTCGACATTTCGAGGGTGAATCTTCAAAAGTTCCAGGCCGATAAAGAATTTTTTTGTCGCGTTTTGTGACCATGGACGAGACCTGGATCCACCACTTTGATCCCGAAACTAAACAACAATCAATGACTTGGAAACGAGCTTCCTCACCAACGCCGAAGAAATTCAAAGTGTCAAGTTCAGCGGGAAAGGTTATGGCGTCTGTTTTCTGGGATGCAGAAGGAATTATTATGGTGGAATATTTGGAAAAGGGGGCCACTATAACAGGCTCTTACTACGCAGGCCAAATAAGAAGATTGCGAGAGGCTATTAAGTCAAAAAGACGCGGTAAACTGCGCGCTGGAGTGCTGTTTCACCAAGACAACGCCCCGGCTCACAAAGCCGCAGTTGCGATGGCTGCCATTGAAGAAACGGGGTTCGAACTGCTCGAACACCCTCCCTATTCGCCAGATCTAGCTCCCAGTGACTTCTACCTCTTTCGTCGGCTCAAAGAACACCTCCGGGGCAACAAATTTGAGGACAATAGTGAAGTGATGGCCGCAGTAGAGGCATTTTGGGAGGGTCAAGACAAAGAATTTTTTTCTAAGGGAATCATGGGCTTAGAAAAAAGATACACTAAATGTATTAACTTGCAAGGAGACTATGTTGAAAAATAAAATACTTTTTTTAATCTATTAGTTCTGTTTCATATTGATTATCATTACTTATTGATCACCCCTCATATTTAAAGGAATTCAATACTCACTGTACTTGTTTTTAAGGTAATTTATTACCGTATCGTAATGTCGTATTCTTCCTTACATTTCGTCAATTGCAGTACCTACACAAGTAATAGGCATACAATACCTCTCCGTGTTACTTTTGCAAAATTTATCGTTTCTGAATAGTGCAAAAATGTAAAAAAAAAGTAGAAAGCCATGACGGGATAAATACGTTCTTATATCTGAAATCGTCTCTAAAGGCAGATACAATCTGAACAATACCGATTCGATTTTCGGTTACAATACGATATAATCACATTAAAATCAATGTTGAATGTTTAATACTTTACTACAAAAATACCTTTTATAACAGTTTTGAGATCGAGAGTTGATCGGAACTAATTTGAGGCCTTCCATTACGAAAATTGGCCTTCTGGCACAAACATCTGTTTGACTTGACTCGACTCAATACCCACCTTTGGCATAGACAAACTGGCTATGGAGTATTGTTTAAGAAGTTGAAAATATTTAAAACCCCAGAGTATGTAATAATACCCACTTTTATTGAACATATTATTACAATCATATTCTTATAACAAAATGTTTGCTTCCAGGGAGCACAATTGTATTATGTAGACAGTGAAGGCACACGCACACCCGGCAAGGTGTTCTCTGTTGGTTCAGGATCTGTCTACGCGTTCGGTGTGCTTGACAGTGGGTACAAGTGGGACTTATCTGATGTTGAGGCACAAGGTAATTACCACTTTTTTTTTTAAGCTCTACATTCAGACCATAAACATTTTCTGACGACTTAAGTTTGGTTGTTCTTTTAGTGTGTCAGTGAAATCCCATCATTAACTGAAAGTTATGAATTGACATAACACTCGGTTACTTCATCATTTATGCCTTAGTATTTTTCATAAAACTAAAATATTGATTCAAATTAAGTTGTATTAACTGATAGGATTTTAGAAAATATCTAACATTCGTATTATAAATAGATATCCTCGTTAATAACGTGGCATCAGTTTGATTCCTTTTTGCAAATATTGATTGAAATTATGTTGTATTAACTGATAGGATTTTAGAAAATGAGTCTGGGTGTTCTTTGTGTTCGTTTCATATATGTTTGTAAAGTCCCCTGCGACACAAGAACAATATACCTAGTGCGGGAGTTGTCTTTTTTAGTTCCAGCATTACATGATACGTAAAAATTACTGTTCCGATTTAGATCAAAATAAAATATTTTGGTGGAAACAAAACAAATTTTAGTAACGTCTTATTTATATTTTCTTTTCCCAGAACTCGGTCGTCGTGCCATCTACCACGCGACCCACCGCGACGCGTACTCGGGCGGTATCGTTCGCGTGTACCACATCAACGACAAGGGATGGGTCAACATATCCAACGAGGACTGCTCAGACCTCCACTACAAATATCAGGCAGAGAAGGGTATCACTGATGCTTAGGATAAACTTCAATAAATTGTATTATTTTTATTGCATTGTTTTATTTTTTAATGGGACTAATACTCTAACTCCTCCTGTCCAGTGACTGACAAACACACCAATTTATATAAATTGGTGTCCTAAGACTTCCCGAGTGTCAAAACACTCGGCGGAAAAAAATTAAACTGTCTTGGAACCTGCAACGAAAATAATAAGAAGAAAATTGGAGAATTGTGAAATATAATAAATCCATTTCCCTCCTTAGCTAAGCGGCAGATAAAAATGAAGTAAAAATAGGCATTGTATGCCTATTTTTACATTCCGCTAATCTATCACCCTTTTAAATTCTATTCAAGTTCTATTGTTTTATTCCTGATGCCTGCGATCATAGTTACTGGTCGGGTTCTCAGGGTCTTAATGTGATGTTAGGTAATGTAAGTAGTATAATCTAATAGCTAGCAGAGAGATACGATTTCTAGCTCTATTTTAATGGAATAAGGAAGTTTATAGAAATACAGATAAATAACAAATCTTTTAGGTGACTAGAACATTTAATACAATTAACTTACAAACTTTATAGTAATTATGCCTTGCCTTGATAAATTAAAACTATTTATGTTTTATGGTTGTTCTTAGTTTAATTATTCACTAGTTAATCTAATTGTAAGCAGTAACATATTTAGAGAAAATTTGGCAAAATGAAGTAACAATTTCGTTCCAAAAAACTTGTTTTTAACAATAAATTATAACAGTAGACAATACAGAATGTTTTAAGTTGTATAGTTCTTGAATCCTTCATTTGTTATATAATATGTACAAAAATCTGTCTTTAATACTATATTCATTAAATTGTAATTAATATGCATTATAAGTGAATATTCTTTCTTTTTAGTTCTTTAGTTTTGTGCGTCATAATTAAATAAAACAACTTAAAACCTGTATGATAACAATCTTAATTCCAAATCACTATTTCTTTGTTTCCTCTTGGATTACAGTTTCATTGCGTTGTTGAGCCTTTACTTGACCTTCTCTCACTTCTATTTCTTCTACCGTCTCCTCCAACTCCCAGTCCTTTAACGGTACTTCTGTCAGCTTATAGAATTTGCCGTGTTTACCTACACCTGAAATAAAAATATATGTTCGGTTTAAAGAAATTTATTTCTCATAAGAACTACAATACAATACATACATACAATGGGATACAAAGTTAAAAGTAATAATACAATACAATTACCTCTGTCCTCTTATAGAATTAGTGTGTGCTCTGTCTTAGAAGTTAGTGTTTCTACAAATTTCTTAAGCTAATTTTTAAATGTGTTCACGTTATCGCATTGTTTAATATCGGCCGGCAATCTATTAACCAGCTGTGTGTGTGTGTGTATGTGTGATGATGTATATGTAAGATGAGTTTAAATTTATTCTTATTTGTCCAATTGTGACATTGTTTTTTATTCATTTGTTGTTATCTATTACTTTTTATATCGTAAACCGTCTGATGTGCAGTATAGATATGGTTTTCGATTAATTTATTACACCTTTAGAAATAGATGCCTGGATAATTTGCGTAATAAACTTGGCAGATTCTAGTTCTCGCCGTATTATTGCAATAACCAGCTTCAATCACTTTTAAAAAACGAACTATATATTTAACGGATTAATTATGATTGACCTTATTTGTCAGAAAAGACAATTGAATTGAATGTATTGTTAAATAAATGATGTGTGATTCTAAGAGACCAGTGATTAATATATTAAACAAAAAGATCAACCTGCTTGAAATTTCTTTAATCCTGCTGAGATGTCCACAATAGCATTGCCCAGGAGGCTGGTCATGACTGCTTCATCTCTCATACTCTCTTCACTGTTGGGATTTAGTTGTGAGTTGATGGAGGCTAACTTGTCCATTATGAGCGCATTTTCGGGGAATTTTGTTAAGGATTTTGCTAGTTTTATAGATTCACCTAGAGCTGAAAATCAAAAGGTATCAGAGAATTGTGACTTAATTACCTAAATGTGTAAAAAAATGGCAAAAATATAGGATATCTATTAGGACCAGAAAGGCATTCTCCAATAAATATATAAGTAAGACACACGCACACTAATAAAGAACAGAAAAAATGTACATAAGAAATGTTAATGGTTTGCTGGTCTTTATAAATTATATGCTAATCACTCTCTTTCTCTATATTTTCCTCTCTCCTAATTCAGATTGCCTTCTATTTCCCTCGCACCCTGGGCTTGGGAGAGAAATCAGCTTCGATTGTTCTTTATGTCAACTCGTAAGACATATTTATTACTTATATTATAAGAACAAAGAAACTTGCGTCTTGCGTTAAAACTAACCATGAAATTTAATGCAAATCTTATAGTACAGATGTATATATTTCTTACCTGTTCCTGTAGACGTCAATTTACAGGCAAGGCCGAACTGGTTGGCTTCTGCCCCTGAGATCAGCCGTCCCGTCATGAGCAGATCAAGAGCCCGCGACAGACCAATCAAAGACGTGAGCTTTCTTCCACCGTACAATGATTGAGGAACGCCTACATAAAAAATAATTAAATTAGACACGGCATGGAACTGAGTCTAGGAATGGTTCGCAATATCACGAAACTGGACAACAGGATAAACAGAAGCATATATATATCTATACAGTAGTCACAGAATGTATGCATTCTGGTAGAATCGAATAAGTTGATAGCACAAACAAAATTAGATGATATTTAACGCCTATAGAACAATGGTGGTGGCGTATGCGACTGCTGTGCTTGCTTCGATTCCCGGGTCGGACCAAATGTTTGTATAATTCCAAATATTTATTTCGAAGTTTGGGTGTTCTCTATATTTAATATGAATGTAATTATAAAAAAAGGATTTAAGTATTCTGTCAGCCAATCTACCTTTCATAGTACAAGCTTTGTTTGTTTGAAACTAGATGGCGTTGTGTGTCAAATGTCCGAAAATATTATTATTATAGTTTCTCCCGATTTACTTAACTGGTGTTTGTTGAGGCTGATAAATTACACACGCGCAATATAATTCGGGTTTCTGTATAGTCTTGCAAGCTACGTAAATATTTGTCGGCTAATCACACTAATATTGTAAAGCGAAAGTTTGTGTGTGTGTTTGTATGTTTGTTACTACTTCACGGTCAAACGGCTGGACGAATTTTAATAAAATTTGGTCTGAGGTAGCTACCACGCTAAATTAACACAGGCTACATTTTATCCTGAAAATATAGTGTTCCCGTGGGATGAGCGGGTAACACCGCGAGGCGCACCAAGTATAAAAATATCTACAAACCGTAACGCCTCCCAAGACAGCCCAAAACAGCAGTATCCTCTATAACTCGTAGGTCGCATGAGAGCGCTAGTTCGAACCCTTGTGCCACTGCATAACCTGATACTGACGCTATTGTGATCTTGTCACAGAGAGGTCGCCGGAGGAGCCGAGCCTAAAAACATTAAATTAAATTTCTCAGTGAATCTGGTGTGCCATCTGTAATAGATTTGCAACTTTATATTGTTCTGTATATTATTTAGGTGTTTGTTTTTAGCTTTTACCATAATTGTGCAGTTTGTGTAATTTATGGATAATATGAAGCCACTTTTCCAAGTTGGTTTATGTTTGAAAGTTATTTTAAAAAGCTTGTTACTCAGACATCAAAAATAGAATACTCAATTTAACTTTGAAACATTTTTATAGTAGGTTTTTCTTACAATCTAACTTGATGTTTTTAATGCAACCTTAAAAATCACTAAATGTAACGAACTGAAAGCATTTTGAGAGTTCATCACCACTGCACTTTTCTCTCTCTCTTCTACGTTTCTTTTTTATTTGAAGAATATTATAATCATAAAACAAGAAACTACAGTTTAAAGAATACTACTTGTATGTACAATATTAATATTATACTAGTAAGCAGATTCATCCAAACTCAACATGACCTGCATGATAAATGTTTATATTAATTTTTTAAATTATGGTTTCTGTTGCCAATTACAAAAAATATTCTTTGCTTTTTTTTTCTTTTTTTTCTAGTAGATGAATAAGTAGGAATCCTATAACAATAGTGGAATCACACATAAGTCTATCACATGACATTATTTTAACATTATATAATATAATCATAATTTCTCTTAGGTTAGGAACATAATAGTATAGAAAAAAACGAGGTTACTTACTGCCGCATCTGTCATATTTTGATAACCTTTCTCTTCCAATTCGTCCATATCAAATCCAGAACAGAAGGTACCACCTTCTCCAGAAATTACTAGCACTTTGGCCTCTGCATCCTGATCAAATGCATTTATTGCATCTGTCAATTGTTTGAGTGTTAATATGTCCAGGCTGTTCCTTGTAGTCTGGCGGTCTATGCTGACAGTTGTGATTGAACCATATTTCTCTATTAGAATATCTGAAAAGAATTTTTGTACCAAGTAATGTCAGTAATCTTTTAAACCTTCAATTTTAGAATGGACTTTTAAACACTGTTTGCTGTTCTTTAGTAAGTTTTGAATCAAGTTTTTGAACTTTTTTAAAATTTAAAAGACAACTCTCGTACTAGGAATATATCAGACGTAAACAACCCAAAGAACACCACTAAGTGTTGTCCTATGTGGGGATCAAACCCACAACACTGAGAGCAGTAAGTAAGGTGACCGCTTAATGTGCAGTTTAACATTGGTTTCTAGGTTTTGTTACATCCTATATGTAAAGTAAACAATAAATAATACCAACAGATAGTTTCAAAGGTGTGTTAAATTTTACATTTTGTTAAATACATTTCCAGAATGATATCTGCAAAGATGAGATGAGTCTGAAAAGCCTTTCTTTGCTTACTATTTTAAATTCTTTACAAAGGAATTACAACTGTAATTCGCTATTATTCATAAGCATACATGTTGAATCTGATATCTGATTATGCAACTACCTTCAATATTTACAAAAAAACAATTTGTTCATATTAAAACACTAGAAAAAAATCTAATATTTAACCTTAATAGGAATTCTATTACCATAATATAACCTACCCTGGTCTATCCCATATAATCAATCAATTTTAACTTTCAAATATTAAACTATCTAAACAGCCTGTTGCACCCACTGCTGAGTAAAGGCGTCCTCTCAATCTCGCCACTCCAGGCAGTTTTGTGCCAGCCAGATCCATTGCTCTCCTACTTCACTCACAATGTCGTCTGACCATTGGGCAGGTGGTCTGTGTCTAACTATAATGAGGCACACTAAATATGAGCTAACTACTACTAATTAATATTTATTAATTTTATTTACATCAACAGCCTTAATTTGTCAACTGCTGAACATAGACCTCTCCTTAAAAAGTTTTGTCTTACTATATCACGCTGGCCAGACGGGTTGGTATAGGGTTTGTTTCAAGTTTTCCTTTTCTTGATGATGATGATGAATTATATTCGCAGGAGACATTTTTTTATGGTTAAAGAGGGCAAACAAGCAGATGAGTCACCTGATGATAAGTAACTATTGCTGCTCATGGACACTTGTATCTCCAAGTCTCACAAGTGCGTTTTCGCCCTTTGAGTCCCTTCACCTATTTTTTTTCTCTATGCAGAAATCCCCTCGAATACCACCCACCGGTGGTTATGTCGGAATCAAGTACTAGTAGACGGGGAACCGTGTACCCTAGAAAGGAGTGGGAGAGGGTGGTTTGAGCTCCGGTAGCCTCACTCACTCGAAGCAACGAAAAAATTGCTTAACGCTATTTCTTGCACTCTATTACATATGTATAGTTATTTATTTTTAAATAATATAAACGTTAACAGCAAATTAGGAGTAACTATAACCTTACTTTTTATCGGCTCGATTTTTTCCGCTTCTTTTTTGGTCTCTTTTTTAGCGTCACTGGCCGCAAAACGAACAGCATGTCTAGGAGCACATAAGTTTGTAACAGAAAACAACTTTCTTATAATAACCCTCATACTCATTTCAGTTTAAACGAAACCGCATTCATTCAATTCAATTCTAATTCAAACAACAATTTTATTGTTTTGACGTAATTAAAATAGTGCTGCCAACAGTGCCAACTTTGGAATTTATCATCCTCCACAATCTTTTTAAAAAGCTAATAAGAACATTACTACTTTGTCAGACCACCTGCCCAATGGTCAGACGACATTGTGAGTGTGGTAGGAGAGCAATGGATCTGGCTGGCACAAAACTGCCTGGAGTGGAGTGATAGAGAGGACGCCTTTACCCAGCAGTGGGTGCAACAGCTGCTTAGATAGCTGTTTACTGTAATATATTAGTATTAGATATGTGTGTATCACCTTTATCACTTTTTCATCAAGTGAGTTGAAAGACAAACAACTAATCCATTGTTAAAATTACGAAAAAACATGTTTTTTTTTATTGAATTAATTTCCCGTAAGTTTCCCCAAATTTAGGGCAAAATGACTCAGGCTAACATCTAAAACAAGAGGTATGAACTTAGAAAACTGTCAAATTGAAAAAATTCCAATGATGAAATTAAAAAAATCTCTTTTGAAACCTTAATAATGCAACCTCTGAGAATTAAAAAACGGAATATTAATAAACATATTTGATTTATTATTTATGTCAGTTAGAAGCACAACTATGCAGCTTTGGAGCATCATTACCACTTCGTCCTTATGGCGGTGGAGACGATGGGCAGCTGGGGTGCTGACACTAGGAAATTTATTAAGGAGCTAGGTAGAAAATTCTCAGGAGTTAATGGAGGCTCCCGCTCCGGTTCGTTCCTGGTGCAAAAGTTGGCCATTGCCATTCAACTCGGAAATACAGCAAGTGTAATGGGCACCTTTCCACCGGCAACGATCAGGAACGGGTTAATTATTTTTTTTTGGTGTTTGTTTAATTTTGCTAGTTCTTATGCCTGCGTCTGTAATTTTGTTTGTGCAGTTGGCTTAAAAGTGTGTTATAAACTTTATTTTATGTATTTATATCATATATTTATCTTACAAATGTATTCAATACAACCAAAACCATTCTTAGTTTTTGTAAAAAAACATCATACCTAGGCATAATTTTTAAAAACGGTTGTCTAAATCGATATATACGAGTATCTTAGATGACTTCATGTAATTATTAACATGAATAAACAAATTGAACTGTTTGCAACACTTAAGCCTAGTGTCAAAAACAACAAAATCATCCTCGATTAAATTTTCTCGACAAATTCTTTTAGTACACGTGTACTTACGCTGAATTGACAATAGTTTCATCATCGACATCTATTTGTAACCAAAAGATCAGCCAGTAGAGCGTATAAACCTGACGTTGTTTGTAACCTGGTTCTATAGTGGCTTTGGTGTTTGTGTTTACATATCAAAATGTCTGAATTCAGAGACTGGTACAACAGTGTACCGTTCTTTACTAGGTACTGGTTGACGTTAACGATAGCGTTCAGTTTATTAGGCCGGTTCGGAATACTGGACTATTACCATTTAACGTTAGATTACAACTCCTTCGTACATCAGTTCCAGGTAAGTGGAAATTGACAATTTACATTTGCACTACTCTAAACACAGGTACAAATATTACCTAAGTTTTAACCAACAGTGGTGTAAATCATATAGTATTAAGAAACGTAAAGAGTAGCGTTTTTTTTTTGTAGTGATTTTTTCATTTTTTACATAATCTATAGGTTTCATGAAATGGTGTATGTGTATGTGTATGTAGATAATACCTTATAATAATAATTAGTCTACCTCTATGTAAAATACTCTGCATTGAATTTGTGTAGAAATTCAAAGTAACCCAGGTCAAAGAACAACATTGTTTAAAAATGATATTAAGTAGTTACAGTATATATAAATAATAGTATATAGATAAATATAATCATCATCAGCCTATCGCAGTCCACTGCTGGACATAGGCCTCTCCCATTGCACGCCGCGATAAATATAATAGGAAAACTAAATAAAAATCTTCAAAGGGAATCGGAATAAAAAGTAAAAAAGTGTTACAATGCACCTCTTGTCTCAGTTATTAGATGAATTTCAACATACTAAATTGTATTTTATTAACCTCCTTTCTAAGTAGAGGCATAAGTCCAACAGAGGACTATTAAAGGCTATTTATTAATGATGATGAAATAGTATTTTTTTCAATAGTTTTTTGTAAAATGAAATTTAAATGAAGGTTAATTTCAACTGCTAAGATTGCTTTTAATATTTACTATTTACAAGTAAAGCTAACTATAAAAAAAGGTTTTAATTTTTTTTTGATTATATAATAAGTATTTAAATACTTTTTGATTACATTTAATTACATATACTTATGAAAATGCCTTGAATGCTCAATGATTAATATGGTTGTTTATTTGAAGCCCTAGATTTCATGGTATTCCTATTATGGTTAATATACATACCTACGTGTATATACCACAAGTGTTGATTTGCTTACATTTTTATTTTGCATTAAAAAAAAAATATGTTTACAGATATGGAGACCTATCACAGCACTATTCTTTTACCCAATCAGTCCAGGGACAGGCTTCCATTTCCTCATCAATTGCTACTTCCTGTACAACTACTCACAGAGATTAGAGACGGGCATGTTTGCTGGCAAGCCCGCTGATTACTTATATATGCTGCTCTTCAATTGGTTTTGCTGTGTAGTCATAGGATTACTTGTGGGTTTAATGGTAAGTATTTTATGTTAGTACCAGCTTTAATACCTGCCCACGAGTATGTCGGTCATCACAAATAGTTAATAAAATATCAATAAATTAAATGCATTATTGGTTAAAAATTGAAATCAAATAAATTAAAACTAGAAATATTTATTGATAAGTGGCCGTGAAAGTTATCCACAGAGATACACCCGTTAATCAAAAAATCTTTTAAAAATCAATATAAAGTATTTGTAATTCCTGTTATGAAATTTGCAGAGATAATATTATCAACAGTCATTAATAATATATTCAATGTCGATATTATAAAACATTTCAAAGATTTTCCACCACATTTTAATAATCCTGCAATCATTGCATTTGTTTCAGATCCTTATGGACCCAATGGTACTCTCAGTGTTGTATGTGTGGTGCCAACTGAATAAGGATGTTATCGTGTCATTCTGGTTTGGTACGCGGTTTAAGGCCATGTATTTACCTTGGGTGCTGCTTGCATTTAACCTTATTATAAGTGGAGGGTTAGTATACATACACAAACAGGCTGTAATGTACTGAATTCAAAATTTAGAGTTATCTACTGTTTGTTTTTTTAATACAAGTGGATGTTATTTTGTGAGCAGCCTATACAGAGATACAATATTCTCACACATTTTTATAGCACTAGAAATTGATTTGTAATGTAAGTGTACTTGTAAAATTTGAACAATAATAAGGCAATACAGTAGCATAGCACACTTGTATCAGTATCATGATGTAACCACGTATAACCATGATGCATAAAGTATATTATTTCTTAAAGTAAAGATATCAGAACTGGAAGTTCAAAACACTACAACGGCATGATGAGGAATTATGAATAAATGCAATGTACTATTGTACGATTTGATTGTTACAGTGGTGTGATGGAGCTCCTTGGTATCCTGATTGGTCACTTGGCGTTCTTTCTTCTCTTCAAATATCCCCAAGAGTTCGGAGGGCCGGCTCTCCTAACGCCACCACAGTTCTTGTAAGTATAATTACTACTTATTTATTTAAAACTTAATGCACATGTTGTACAAAGGTGAACTTATTGCCATGGGGCATTCTCTCCCAGTCAACCTTCAGGTGATATAGAAATATGATGCGTTAGGTGCAAAAATAAAATATAAATATATAAATTATAAGTAGTAGAAGCCCAGAAGTATAAACAAACATACATAAATAAACATACAAAAAGAAGGAATTCGTAGTTGAGTATAATTTAAGCGTCTTAAAATGTCATTCATAGAAAACTAATTCTAGGAAATATCTACGTGTTTTGAATCTATCGTCTGAGTTAGTAAAACCCCATGGAAAGAAGAAAAAATTTTATAGGTTTGTTTGATTATTTTAATTTCTTTTATCAGTTTAGTGTTACCATTTTACAGCCATTTTTTTCAAGTAGTGGATTGTCCAATAAAGTGTCGTAATATGGTAATCACTTATTAGTAAAATGGTAATCAGATAATAGTTTTATAATTGTACTGCATCTGTTTAAGTAGTTTAATGTTTTTTCATATTTTGTACGATCACCTGATGCGATAAACACATTTGAATTGCCTGACGTTTCGCCTTTGAGGTAGGACCTTCTTCATGCACTAGCACAAATTGAATACTTTTGATGTTTTCTTTTCGCCATGAATATGTTACTATAAAAAATTTAGATTTTACCAATAAATCTTAAGATTTACCGACAGGAGTTGGTGAATGTAAATATTAATAAAAAGGAAAAAATCGGACTTATGCCAATAGAAACTGGTACATGCTAAGTTTTACCAGAGGCGGTTGGTAAATGTTGTTTTTAGGAGGAAAACAATAAGGATTTTAAAGTTAAGTTCGGGTTAGGTTAGAACATAAAAGCGCAAAGGCGAGCGAGCTAACTCGTGGGTATATCTTGGATTTACCGCAGTTCGGGATTTATATAGTAACTATACTACACTAACTATACCAACAAAATTACATAACCAATATTTTGCAAGTAAACCTGAGGGTCCCTTTTCTATTGTTTATCCGACTGCGTACAAATTAGGCAATACAAAAGTAAATAATATCGTATGTATGTTTATACTCTGTATCCGTATTTGAAATGTCATTTAAAGGTAATCGAACTTTTATCGAACAAATTAAAATGTATATTTTATTCATCAACAGGAAACAGATATTCCCGGACACGCGGTACGTGGGTGGCTTCGGCACAGCACCGCAGGCTAGAGTGCCCACGCGGCCCGCCGGGACGGTCTTCGGTGGCCACAACTGGGGCCGGGGACAAACACTCGGAGGAAACTGAACAAATGAAAATTAAAATAGGATAAATATAAGAGGCGTTTTATGACCTGATCTTTAAATGGCGATTGTGGAGTCACTATGTGCTACTCGAATTGTTAGTCAAAACAATGTACATATTAATGTTATGCTTTTTATTTAAATATTAATTTGTTTTCCTATGATTTTAAAATTCAGGTTGCTGGACAAATTATATAGAAATAATAAGAATATGATAATGCGTTTTGTTATTCTGGTTATTGAATAAGAAAACGCATAAACACTTATTGATTTAAATATTGATACAGGATTGTGTAACTTGATTTTATAGATTTCTTCTAATTAATCAAGGAAGTTATGAGAATTAAAACTAACATTGGGAACGAAAAAGAGTACAATCATTAGAAATTATTCATGATCGCTCAGGTACTAATTTTTAAGTTTTTTTAACGAAAAATAAATTATGTTTTACTGTGTAGGTTAATCGATTATGAAAATGCTAGGTTGCATTGAATATATTTCCTAATGCAATAATATTGTATTCAGATTCCAGTTATGTTTGGGTGGATTTCCTTTTCCTGTGTATTTTGATTGTGAAATGCATTTACTTTGTTTTTGGAGTGGTCTAAAGATTTAAATGAACGAAAACAACCAAAATGTAAATATAGCATTATCTACATTGTGTTTTATTGTTATATAACTTAATGAAATAAATATAACAAAGATGAATTTTTTAGTTTTCTTTTAATATACAGCAAATATATTCTAATTTGACCTTGATTCACGGAAATGTAATACTTCTATAGTTATCGCTGCTGCTTAAAATGGCAGCATGTAATTAAAATATACCTATCTGTCCAACTATCGAGCACAAATCCCGTGTTGTAATTAAGACGGATACAGACATTGCGAGACATGTGCAGTGAACCACCACTTCACTATCTGTTCCACTTTCAAAGCGTACGTGTACCAGACACTCCCTATGTGACGCGTGTAGCCACGCACAACGCATGCCTCGACTGAGAAAATGAACTTATTCGGCGCATGCTAGGATCGATTCAGTCCATATACAACAATTAATTCAATTATTGAAAAAAAAGGTTGGTTCGCTGGGTCGCCTCATGTGTAGTATATGCCTCGACACAATTGATGGTACGGACATTGCGAGCCATGCGCTGGTTTTATTTTTACTCCTTTCCCCTCGGATACCACTTGTCGGTGGCATGTCGGACTCGAACCGACTAAAACCGCACGCCGTCTCGGGTACTAATAGCCTTTATTTTTACTCCTGGAAAATTTATATCAAGATGTGCGTTGTGAGGCGTATGCGGCACATGCTTCGCAATGTCTGTTTTCGCTTTGGCATAAGCTATTTTGTGCTATTTTCAGACCTACTGTAGGCTGTCCCTTATTCTAAATGGGGTAAAGTTATGTTATGTTCAGGGCTTGAAGTATAATGTGGGGTTTCACTTGAACTACCTAAAGTACAGTAGTGATCCAGGTTCCATTTATTTTTTTAATTAAAATTAATTTTAGATACAATGAAACAATTTTTTAAATTAACGAAGTTCACTATATTACACACTAGTCACATATTCAATGTTTCTCTTCCTTATCTGCAGGTCCATGCTCCTTCTCCCACATCGCAATAAATTCTTTCTTGCGCTCTTCACGACGCTTGAAGTACTCAGGGTAGTGTGCCTTTTCTAGGGGATGCCAGTAATCCAAAATCCAGTCAGGTGGTGTTACTACTCGCTCGTGAGCCACTCCGCCCACACTTGTTGCAACTGTTTTAGGAAAACATTCTTAAATAACTGTGTTTTTAACTATGAGTGGAAAACTAAACTTCTGAATCAGTGGTTAATAGTGTTGTATGTACTTTGAAATAAGAGGATTTAAAAAAAACCAACAGGAAACTTGGTCAACATGTGCAAGTCTACTTTGATGCCATATCAGTTTAGAAAAGAATGTGACATGCAAGAGATTAAAATTTATAGGGAAGTCTAAGCTCGAAGTTTTGATAGTGAGTTCAAAATCTGAGCTGAGCCATTGTTATTGATCATGTTAAGTCTACTTTGGCTTAGCATTTTCTAGACTTCGCCATGCAAATAAAAATATTGATAAGAAATGTTGTAAAACACCATTTAGATATGTCAGTAGCTTCAAGACCAACATTGTTTGAATGTAGTTATAGTATAAAACTTTTTGTGGTATCAATGTTCAAATAAATGTAAAAAGTGAGCAATGAATAGGAATTTGAATGCAGAAAAATGATTTCATTGCCATTTCACCACAGCATTTACTTATTTATCAAAGCAAGATATTAATTCATAATATAATAGTCATTGAATCTCGAACTCTAGAATTCATAAAGAATTTCGGATGAAAATTTACAATAAAGAAAGAATTTACATTTTATCATAGGAAGACAAGAGAAACCATTCCAAGGAGCTTTTTCTGAATCATTACAAACTAGATTACATTGAAGGGGATATATAACATTTCTATTGTAACTGTACAATTTTAATATACACTGTTTCATCTATGGTGGGAGTATCTAATACAAGATGGTGTTAAATAGGTCACAAACAAGGTACCCACTCAATGAAAACTAATATACCACCAATGTTTCAGTAAGATTCACTAGTGGCTGTTCACTTATTGATTACAACATTATGTTCATAAGTAGTAAGCTAGTATTGAAACCAGATACTTACAGTTCCTAGGAATTGGATGCTGTACCATGAAAAGTTCCTGCTCTCCCTCTTTGAGGAGCTGAACTGCCTTCCTCATGTCTTGCTCCTTGGCATGTTTATCAAACCTTTCTCGTAATAAAACTGCTTGGTAACGGTATACATGGCTACAATATTAGAAACATCATTTAGGTTAAAAATCCATGGTGTTCTGTCAAAATGATTTACTTTAAGCTTAACAGATAAATCGTAAAATAATAATGTCCAAATCTTAATAAATAAAGAATTTTATTTTTGTATCTTAAACAAAAATCCTTTTTTATAATTATAAAATAGTATTATGGGACCAATAAAACAAAATGTCAATGATAATTGAATGAATCAACTGACACTAGAAGAGTTATTTTTAATTGGAACACACTGTACATAGCTATATTGCATTATCCTATTTGTCTTTAGTGAAATAAAAATTATACTCAACAAAACTGGGTTAAATATTTAGAGGTTTTTTATCAAAACAGACAATTGAGTAAAAATTAATTGCAATGTTTTTTTAACCAATCTCGCAACAAAGGCTACAGGTATGAAAATTACTTATTATTTACTGGTATGATACATACACGCTACAAAGTACCTTCTGAACTAATTATTGGTAACTAATAACAAATGTGAAATCCCTATGTACGAAATATATCGACTATTTTAAAATCAATTTATTATATTTAACATTTTTACAATCATTTACTACAAACATATTATGCCACGGTAGGTAGGTACCTTTATGAACTAAAAAATTACAGTTTCATCTTATTTATCATCGTATTTTGATTATGATTGCATGTAACAGAAATATCATAACAGGAACTTAATAACAATTATAAAAATATTCTTTTAAACATCTGTAAATAAAAATTAATTATTTGGTTATTTTTCTTAGAATTACGTAACGGAACATGATGGAACAATAGCAATTTTAAACGTACGACAGAAAAAGGTACACGTACCGTCTATCATAATACGCTTCTAAATTGCGCAAAGCCCTTTTGTAAAGGCTGCAAACCTTTTGCGAATGTGTTTTCAACCCTAAAAACGGAACGTTCGCCATTTTTATTGTTTTGACTACAATTATTTTGATGACATTGACAGCCGTCAGCATGCAAAGTTGATGGAACTGTTTGCCATATACAAACATATATATTTCACGATCGCAGTACAGGGTTTTCAGCTGAAATAATTTTTGATTCAGGGTTTTCATAGGTACAATAAGCATATATGCAGTTATGCATTTTTTTTTAATAAAAAAAGTCATATTTATATTTACCTGATTTGGTAGCTGTGAGTGGGTAACTATCATTTGCTATAGCTACCTTAGCTTCGAATGTATTATTAGGTAACAAACACAAATTATCAAACACTTGGTTGCTCTTAGATCTGCGTTATAATTATTATAACGTTGCAACCCTATTAGTGCGCGGGGTGGACCGTGACGTTTTGGTCACCAGGCAACAAAGAAAATATTTCTTCCATGTTTTACATAGTACTTCAATAAAAAATATTTCTAAGCATTTGATTGCTGTTTAATCCTGGCACTTCTAATGATTAAAGTAAATTAAAGTACGTTAATTAAAAACGGCGTGACGGGTCTATGGACCCCCGGTCGGAACGAAGTTCCTTTCGCTTTTTTATATCGTTGATATCGGACTCGAACCAACTAAAAACCGAATGCCGTTTGGGGTACCAATAGCCGGAGAACCAGGTGTACCCTAGGAAGAAACTCCCTGGTACTCCGACGGCTCCCGGGCCATCTAGGGCCTGTAGATGACCACTTGTGTGTGGGAACCACGTTGTTCCCATTCTACTCCCTAAAGGGTCCCTAAGTGGTCCTCTCCTAGGGTGGCAGATGTCCTCACCTGGCACCCCCAGGCCTGGACTATATAACTTTAATCTATGGTCGATATAATTCATAATTTTTATGGTATTTATTTGCCGATCAAAGGTGTACAACGGTTACGATTACGGGTTACCTTAGAATAATAAAGCATTGTTATTCTAAGGGTGTTAAATTTAGAGCGAGATGATGTGAAATAAACTCGCACTAAGCCCCCAGTTGCTTTTTATGTCAGTAGAATTAGCTAATAATATGATTGTCTACATTGCAAAAGGAAGAATTTCCTGCTGTTGTGGAATAGTTATCCAAAAATTTGCTAAAAGAAATTGAAGTGCCTCAGAATTTCGGTGAATGATTTTTTTTACCTATTAGTCAGAAGAAACATACAATGAACTACTTAATTTAATAATTTTACGTCGTCAGTGCTACTTTCGATAATATTACGATAACTACAATAATTAGTATTGGTTATAAGCGAACTGTAACATTTTTATAGCTTTACCTATTCTTTTAAATTTACGTTTAATAGCCATGGATTTCCTAATAAATTCGCCAGCAAGCAAGCGCAAGTCCATTTTGACGTCGCTGCGTCGCGTCAGTTCACTTCAAGCTTTTAAAAAAATGGCGGCTTGCTATTTTGATCGCCGCGCGCATTCGTAAACCTCGCCGCGGCAATTTTAAAATATGGCTCGTTACACACAAGATTTGCCGCGGTTTTGTGACCGTTATGGTGATGAACTAATAAATATAATTATGTAAAATAGTGTACCTATACATTTGGATGTATACACTATTCAGGCATTTAATATCTACACATGCATACATTAGATACTATGTATGTAAAAATTACCTATGTGCTTATAAGTACATAGGTAATTTTTCTATTCACATATAATAATGTCACTTCGACAAGTTTAGTATACTACATAATAATGTATACGAAGGACATAATACCACTACATACCACTAATACATTTCATTTACTTAGTACATAATAATAAATTATTACTACCTGTGGCTATTATCAACAATAAAACTCACCTAGGTTACCTTCTCGGGTAGTGTTAAAACTACATTACTTTGACCGTGTACAATACTTATATTTTTATCCAAGTTGCTTATAGCAAGCAAAAAATACCAATATGGCCTTGAACGGCGGACGTTGTATATTAATTTTACATCTGGTACAAGGTCATAGTGCACGACCCACATCATGCAACCGTAAATGCATCCGCTCGATAATGTCGTATAAAATTGTGTAAGTAGGTAAGTCTAAAATGTATGCCTACAGCAAGCGTAACGAATTGCCTACCATACCATTATGTACCTACAATGGCCGTGACCTGACTCTTGGTAGGTTGTTGGTTGTTGTAACAATTTTGGTTCTAAATTAATATACCCTACGAAAGTTGTTTACGTTAAATTATTCTCAAACTACGTTAACGCCCTATCATCATCATCAAAGGCTGTTAATGATGACATCAACAGCCTTTAATAGTCCACTGCTGGACCTCTCCTCAGAAAGGAGGTTTTGGCCTACTATACCACGCTGGCCAGACGGGTTGGTATAGGTTGTTTCAAGTTTTCCTTCTCTTTGCAGAGTTGTTGTCCTGCCTAGTTTGCTCCCTTAGTCGTCTCTTACGACACCCACGGGATGAACAGGGGCGGTGACACTCCGTATTCTTAATCCGTCACCACACGGACCTATATCTAACGCCCTATATCTAAATAAAATCTTTGATTTTTTTTTACATGAGGAAGCTCAATAAATCTATTAAAATTTAGAATGTAATGGAGCCTATACCTCATATGCTCTTAGGTAATATTGCCAAACTAGCCGAAATGTTTTCATGCAACTAAAAGCATTAATTACCTTTACTTTTTTTCATCAATTTCTAGAACTGGTTGTGTGAGATCCTTTTCTGGAGAACCTAATCACGGTGTAACGAAAACAAGAGTAATAGGTGTCAACAAACACCTTTGCTAAAATAGCTCCGCTTAGCTGTTAAAGGTTCTGTTGTTTGTTTGGTTGGACCCTTACAACAGTGATATTTTAGGGAAGATACGTTATATTGATACTGCACGCACAAAACTTGTTCCGTAACCGTAATATCATTGCCTTATATTAGACCCTTGTATACTCTTGAAATAGAAAAAGGGGCAGATTTAGTAAAATCTGCATCAGTGGTAAGTCTAAGTTAAAATCTACACCACTGGCCTCCTTAGATTGTCAATGCTTCGATTTTGATTCTAATTCAGTATCCTAATTTTAGTAGTCCGCGATGGCCGGACCTCCCCGTGGGATTTGGAGGCGGAAGTGCCCGCCGAAGTATACCGGAGTCGAACTCCGCCGCTTGCGGAGCCACGATGGCTGGTGGTTGGTCGTCCCGGCTGGAGGTTCTACGTGCTCGAGCAGGTTATCGTGGAGTGAGCTGGACGGCAGCATGGGATCTTTTTGTAGTGCCTTTGCGGGCTAGGAGGGGTCCGGATGTCTTAAAAACAGCTGTTCACGGATCCCTCTTATTTCAGACGCAGAGTGGCACACCGTATGGTTTTAGTCGTTCATTTTTTTTTTAATTTTATGTTTCGAATTATCATTAAGTCGGACTTTTTGTTATTAGATCTATTGAAACTCAGTATTTTGAGCATAGTAATTATAAAAGTAAGGAATATTGAAATTTTGAATTATAAAAATACCTAGGATGAATGATAAATCGGCGTTGTTATATTAGGAATTTTGAAACATTCGGTATTATGAAAATTGGGATTTTGAAATTCGTATTTATGACTGCGGAATAAAGTTTTTCGTATTTGTGTCGTGTACCACTCATATATCTGCGGTTTTGTATCATATGTGTAACGTATATTAAGTAAATTAGTAAGCAACAAGGTCAGGCATCATAGGTATGTACAAAATGCATACATATCCTTAATATAAATTGTTGAATGTACCTATAATTGCACTGCAGCAACATTAAGGAAATCTTCATCACCATCATCATCAGCCTATCACAGTCCACTGCTGGACATAGGCCTCCCCCATTGCACATTATTAAGTAAATACCAATAATAAATTGTACGAAATGCCAAAGTTATCGACTGGAAAGTAGCTCAGTAAAAAATATCACTTATCTGGTTAAAATGAAGTAATTATAAATCAAGGCATCTTTACAACATCACAAGTGTGTTAAATTCCTATCAAAATGCAATCATGAAAAATTGTACCAACTTACAATCGGGGTCAAAGAAAGTTAGGGAAACCGCCGCGACGAGATGACCAATCGATGAGAACCGGTTGCGTAGTACGAGTAAGAAAGAAGGAACAAACTGAGAAATCGCGCCAACCTTTTGAAAATAGAACATTCTTCCTACTCTATGACACGAAAGTAAGGTTTTAAACTCTATCTGTCCACCTACTTAGTTTAGATGTTTATTTGTATTTGTATACAGAAAACATTTGCGAGCTTGCATCTATTTGTAATATACCTAGCTTGCACGCAGTAGACATTAAGTACAATCAGTGGCGGCTTTAGCTATTGCGAGGCCCGGGGTGGGTAGGACATTGCGAGGCCCTTGTCTTTGTGGAATTAGTTTTAATGCTGATACTTGAAACAAAAAATGCAGTGCAACACATACTGCTGCTCGAACATAAAAGCACAAACCGAAGACAGTTGCCACTTACAGGTTGTCAATATGAGTTTTAGACTGCAAGGCGTAAAGCACTTTTTCTACTTGTCGCGAGTGCGAAAAGGAGCCTTCCGCACTCGCATGAGCGAGGCCCCGGGCGGTTGCCCTGCTCGCCACCCCCAAAGGCCGCCTCTGAGTACAATACATAGTAGTAACTCAGTGTTAAAGCGACACTCGGTGCGGTGGGTACTACTGTCGCGTATTTTATTTTCCAAATTTTCTACTTTGTATTATTTTTGTGTGAGCATAGTGAAATAATAAGTAACAATAGTATAATTAGTGAAAAGTCGTTTTTTGGAATATCGAAAAATCTGCGACGCTCGGTTGGAATTTTCATCGCTTTAAATTTTTAAGTAGGTATGTTTTTTTTTATATATTACTTTAAAGTTAAACTTTAATTGCACTGAACAAACAGAAGTTCTGAGAATTTTTTTTCTGAAGTAACTCATTATATAGACAGCTACATGGTAGTTAAATATTATCTAAATCGGTCCTGCCGTTTTGAAGATTACCCGCAACAAACAGACAGA